TGTTACCGTATGAGTTTATGTCAAATCTTCATAAGACATATGTATATAGTTTTATTTCTTGTTTTAAATATTTCCCCTGAGGTGTTGATAGCTTGTAGGGAAATAAAGTCTTTGTTGTGCTTATCACTGTGGAGGGGAGTGCCAGGCCCAATGAATTGCAAATAGGGTCATTGTTGAGCCCAGGCATGTCCAGATAATTACCATAGAGGTGCAACTTCAGTATCCTGTGTATCAGGAGCCAAGACCCTTTGATCTAATAACAAGTAGACTGGCCAATTGTAGAGAGGGGTGTGGAGTTGTAAAGAGGGTCTTGATAGGGTCTTGGAAACCCTCCAATCTCCAGTAGGCCTTGGGAGGCAACCAATGGGAGATTTGTCATGCATCCCTATGGACACGAGGGCTATATTAAGGACTGGAAAAAACAGCTTGCTCTCTTTTCACCAGGATGGGGCCTCATGTGACGTTTAATGGGTAACTATACATATTATCTTTCCACCACTTAACTGTATGTCTGTTTGTCTGTTAGATACCAATGTCTGGGTATTTGGCATGTTTAAATCTTTTCTTTGTATGTTGTAGTTAAATAGATTGTTGGTTCATTGTATTTAAGTCTTGATACTATATACCAATAAATTCTGTTATTGTGTTGAGCTCAAAAATCTCATGAATGAATCCTTAGAATATTATACCTCTAAGTGTGAATGCTTATATAGCGGTTCATAACTTAAAATAGTAATTCAGGTAACACACCTCTCCGCTCTACTATCTTTTATCTGCACTAGGTTGTTGCGCTTCTTCCTCCTTTTTGTTTCCTCTTTAGCATGAACAGATGACCAACTAGACACACGATGGACACAATTCCAGGAGCCAATGCACCCAAGCATCACAGCTAGACCTTAGCTCAGAGCCTTTTTTATTGTTGTAAGTAGAAGCAAATGTGCACTATATGGCCAAAAGTTTGGAAACCCGTCCATCGCAACTATATTGTTGGGCATCCCACTCCCACTTATGAGTTGTTGGACATCCCACTCCCACTTATGAGTTGTTGGACATCCTACTCCAAAACCATGGGCATTATTATGGAGCCCCTTTGACCTATAACTGCCTCTGGTCTTCTGGAAAGGCTTTCCACAAGATGTTAAGCATTTCTGGGGTACTGATGTTGGATGAGAAGACCTGGCTCAGTTGGCATTACAATTCATCCCAAAGGTGTTCAGTAGGGTTGAGGTCTGGGCTTTCTGCAGGACACTTGAGTTCCTCCACACCAAACCATGTCTTTATGGAGCTGGATCCAGGTCTTACACACCAAACTCATCAAATCATGTCTTTATGGAGCTGGCTCCAGGTCCTCCACAACAAACTCATCAAGCCATGTCTTTATGGAGCTGGCTCCAGGTCTCACACACTAAACTCATCAAATCATGTCTTTATGGAGCTGGATCCAGGAACTACACAACAAAGTCATCAAACCATGTCTTCATGGAGCTGGATCCAGGTCCTCCACAACAAACTCATCAAACCATGTCTTTATGGAGCTGGCTCTAGGTCCTCCACACCAGACTCATCAAACTATGTCTTTATGGAGCTGGCCCCAGGTCCTACACACCAAACTCATCAAAGCATGTCTTTATGGAGCTGGCCCCAGGTCCTACACACCAAACTCATCAAAGCATGTCTTTATGGAGCTGGCCCCAGGTCCTACACACCAAACTCATCAAAGCATGTATTTATGGAGCTGGCTCCAGGTCCTACACACCAAACTCATCAAAGCATGTCTTTATGGAGCTGGCTCCAGGTCCTCCCCACCAAAACATGTCTTTATGGAGCTGGCTCCAGGTCATCCAAACCAAACTCCCCAAACCATGTCTTTATGGAGCTGGCTTTGTCCACAGGGGCACAGTCATCCTGCAACAGAAAAGGGCCTTCACCAAACTGTTGTCACAAAGTTGGAATCCCTCAGCTGTCCAAACTGTCCTTGTATGCTGTATAATAGAATCACGGGAACTCAATAATTTGCAGGGGTGTCCGCATATGGTATGTGGACATATGTTTTTATCAACCCCTGAAGTGGGGCTACCTCCACACTGCAAAGGCCAACTTCTTGTTTTGGTCCAGAGAGGAGAGGGCTCTAGTGCTGATAGTGCTTCGGGAAGGTGCTCTCTTTCCGACTTCCCGTCCACCTCACTGACGTCACTGGTTGACAGGAGCTCAGCGAGATGCCAGCCAGAGTGCCCTGCTCAGCTCCCTGGTAACCAATGACATCAGTGAGCTGGATGGGAAGCTGGATGGGAAGCCGGACAAAGCGTCATAGACTGCTAAGAGCTCATAGCAACCTGGGAAGCTGTGGCCGCCCCTCATTAGAGGGACAGCCTTGGGGGAGGTCATAGTTTTGGCTTGGGCAAACTCAGGTGACATACATGCGTGCGGGAAGACAAAAAAATAAGTTGCAAGTACAGAAAAATACTTGTTGATCGTCCAGAAATCCAGTGAGCTCCTAATAGTAAGAAGCCAGAGTTTGGTGCGAAACCAGTTCACCCAATCCGGCGCAAAACGGTAACTGACGCACCCTCACGGTCCAATCAGGAGCGGCAGGCACATTCTCCCATGTCACAAAGTGGCGGAGCATGCCCCTGCCGCAGCTGCCTGACTGTCGGTCACAATTTTGCGCGGCCTCGTGTGAACTGTGAACATAGTGTGTAAATATTGATTGTTTTAGTCTGTAATTGGAGTTTCTGTTGTATTTGAGGCTGTCAGTAATGTTTTGTCACGGTTTTCAGTTATTTTCCATAGCCTGCATCTAATGTGTAACACAATGTTACAGCCATTGGCTGGCCAACATGTCATCTAACACCCGGGAATAGTGTATCACCTTAATGGGAGAGCCCAGCTGGCAGACGGCACACATAACATTCACTTTACAGCGATACTTATGACCAGCCACTCGGTAACGATCTGCAGTTCCAATATGGCGGCAACGGCGACAACTCTCCGCATATTTTACGGTTAAACCGCTATACGCCACCACCCTAGTTAATCTCCCCCCATCGTTAGTGATAATTGGTATCGTCCTACCATTGGCGAACGCTAGCTGGCCTGTACTATGATGCTAAAATGGAGGTGGATATGTATACCCCTATATAGGCTACCGTGGTTCAGTCCATTTCGTTGATTTGAAGGAAGACTAAACCACGTGGACCATGAAACGGGGGCGCTGTGCATGATGATTTCCTTGCGTGTGAATTACTTCCTGGACAGGGCTATCCGATGCCTGGCAGAGGGGAGGCGTGCTCCTGGGTTCCATAGAACAGTGGCGCGTTTGGTTGTGGATTCCCCCCGCAGTAGAAGGGGATGGTGTGAGCCGGGAGGGGAGGATTCCAGGGCTGCAGACAGTGAAGAGGGATTAGCAGGTGAGGAGATGCAGCAGCTTGTGTGAATTCTATTATGTTGGCGGAGGGGGAGGGGGGCTATGTATGGCATGCATGGGGTGCCCCCTGTGTGCTGACATGTTGTCACCCTTGTCTATAGGTACACATATATGTTGTTCTCATTTATTATGTAGACTTCCAGCTTCATACTCCATGATGGGTGTCTCCTTCCAGCATCATTGTATGGCCTGCAGTCTGAGGAGCTGCAGGTTGTAGGAACCAATCAGAGTTCTGGTGTCCTTCCAGATCTAAAGAATGAGTATGGGAATCCCTAAATATGAGAGAGAGGGTGGGGGATATGACCGTTCCGTGACCCATAGCGTTCCGTGATCATTCCGTGACCCATAGCGTTCCGTGACCCATAGCGTTCCGTGATCATTACGTGACCCATAGCGTTCCGTGACCCATAGTGTTCCGTGATAATCTCATGACCCATATCCTTCCACGATCATCTCATGACCCATATAGTTCCGCAATCATCCCATGACCCATAGCGTTCCGCGATCATCCCATGACCCATAGCGTTCCGCGATCATCCCATGACCCATAGCGTTCCGCGATCATCCCATGACCCATAGCGTTCCGCGTTCATCCCATGACCCATAGCGTTCCGCGTTCATCCCATGACCCATAGCGTTCCGCGTTCATCCCATGACCCATAGCGTTCCGCGTTCATCCCATGACCCATAGCGTTCCGCGTTCATCCCATGACCCATAGCGTTCCGCGTTCATCCCATGACCCATAGCGTTCCGCGTTCATCCCATGACCCATAGCGTTCCGCGTTCATCCCATGACCCATAGCGTTCCACGTTCATCCCATGACCCATAGCGTTCCGCGTTCATCCCATGACCTAGTGTCATTTGGTTGCTAGGATGCAGGTGGCTTCTGCTGCCTAGTGTCATTTGGTTGCTCGGATGCAGGTGGCTTCTGCTGCCTAGTGTCATTTGGTTGCTAGGATGCAGGTGGCTTCTGCTGCCTAGTGTCATTTGGTTGCTAGCATGCAGGTGGCTTCTGCTACCTAGTGTCATTTGGTTGCTAGGATGCAGCTCTCCTCAGGCCATGTACCGCACAGTGATGATGTCACTGCAATGACATTTGGTGCACACATATGTGATTTATATCCTTTGTGGCCATTGAGGAATGTATGTAGATGAAGGTGTTTGCACTCAGAGTTTAGTTTTCATCCCTAATGGGATCACCCAACGCACCTTGTCAATGGACATGTATTGCACCGCACCTCAATGTATGTCCATACCTTGCACTACCATACGTTGTAGTGTACTGCCTTACCAAACAAAGAGAACCCCCCTCCTTTCTATTTTCACATGGTTGGATGTTTGCAAATGGCATGAACACGTACAATACGGATCATGGAACGATATGGGTCATGGGATTATCACGGAAAGCTATGCATCGTGGAATGTGGCATGATCACGGAACGCTATGGGTCACGGAACGCTATGGGTCACGGAACGCTATGGGTCATGGGATGATCGCGGAACGCTATGGGTCATGGGATGATCGCGGAACGCTATGGGTCATGGGATGATAAAAAAATTAAAAAGTTTATAAAAAAATAAAATATAAAAAAAATTAAAAAGTTTATAAAAAAATAAAATATAAAAAACATTTTCGGTTTCGGCCTGACAATTATTTTTATTTCGTTTCTGAAATTTCCATTTCGGTGCACCTCTAATTTGAATGGCGTCCCAACCCACCTTCATACACTGCCGGGCATGGTCCCGCAATTCCTTGTGCTATGGTGAGGTGAAAAAGATTGCATATGCACTACTTTGTATCACTGCAATGCGAGGTACCTGGATGGTCAGGATCCTGAAGCATGTTAGTTCTGGGCTTTGTGCACTCAGAGCAGAGTGACAGGTCCTCTTCAAAGCTCACATCCTGGACTTCTACTGACCATCACAGTGCTCCCCTCTTGCTTTGTTCCTCTGTCAGACCCAGTCCAGCCCCATGTGTAAGCTCCATGTTGGATGGTGTCGGAGCTTACACTGGGTGGATTCTGCCCTCCTACTCCTGTGGCAGTGTTCAAGCCGTCAATTGGCTGCTAGACTTGAGCACTGTATCATGGGAGGATGTCGCATGGTCACCTATACCCAGAAGTACCAGGAATTGTGTGGTGGCACAGCCAGAGCCATGATGATGTCATCCACCTCTCTCACGTGACAGTGTTTGGACCTTGCAATTGGCCACACTGCGGCACAGAAGAAGGTCATGTGCTCCTCCAGATCTGGAAGCATTTAGCGCTTACACAGGGTTCATTGATGTCACCCGATCTCCCATGTGACAGTCTTCAGGCCTTGTGATTGGGCACACTGATGTCAGCCCCTCTCTCATGTGACAGTGTTTGGACCCTGCAATTGGCCACACTGTATCATGGAAGAAGGTCACATGCTCCTCCAAATCTGGACGCACTAAGAGCAGAGGTAGCCAAACTCTGGCCCTCCAGCTGTGGTGGAACTACAAATCCCATGAGGTATTGCAAGATTCTCACAGCTGCAGACATGACTCCTGGAGAGGTGCATGATGGGATTTGTAGTTTCACCACAGCTGGAGTTTGGCTACCCCTGACTTAGAGCTTACACAGGGTTCAGGCCTTGTGATTGGCCTCACTGATGTCACCACCTCTCTCATGTGACAGTGTTTGGACCCTGCAATTGGCCACACTGATGTCACCCTCTCACTCAGGGTTTATTAATGTCGCCCCCTCTCTCATGTGACAGTGTTTGGGCCTTGCGATTGGCCACACTGCAACATGGAAGAAGGTCACATGCTCCTCCATATCTGGAAGCACTTAGAGCTTACACAGGGTTCGGGCTTTGTGATTGGGCACACTGATGTCACCCCCTCACTCAGGGTTCATTGATGTCACCCCCTCTCATGTGACAGTGTTTGGGCCCTGCAATTGGCCACACTGATGTCACCACTTCTCTCATGTGACAGTGTTTGGACCCTGCAATTGGCCACACTGATGTCACCCCCTCACTCAGGGTTTATTAATGTCGCCCCCCTCTCTCATGTGACAGTGTTTAGGCCTTGCAATTGGCCACACTGCAACATGGAAGAAGGTCACATGCTCCTCCAGAGCTGGAAGCACTTAGAGCTTACACAGGGTTCATGTGACATTGTTCAGGTCTCGTGATTGGGCACACTGCACCATGGAAGGAGTTCACATGCGCTTCTAGATCTGGAAGCAGCTGGAGCTTACACAGGGTTAATGATGTCACCCCTTCTCTCATGTGCCAGTGTTTGGGCTTTGCAATTGACCACACTCCATCATGGGAAACAGTCACATGCTCCCTCAGATCTGGAGCTTACACAGGGTTAATGATGTCACCCCTTCTCTCATGTGACAGTGTTCGGGCTTTGCAATTGGCCACACTGCAACTTGAAAGAAGGTCACATGCTCCTCCCAGATGTGGCATTCTTCAGCAAGTTGAAAGGCGGATGGGTGAAGTGTCCGATGGCCATGATGCTGAACCATGATTGAAAATCTGGACAACCTAACATGCTACTTCTTTGTCTGTTTCCTGTGTGCAGGGCAGAATGAGTGACGGCAATCAGAACCCGGCCGCCGTTCCCACCCTATTGCCGGACGTGCAGGGGGATGGACGCTGGATGTCTGTGGTGAGTTGGGCGCGCTGCTGACTTTGTCTTGTCATTAGAGATCGCTATTCGGCCACAAGAGCTGCTGATGTCTCTGTATACAGCAACATGGAGGATGGAGGAGCTCCATAGGGAACCTCCCATGTGTACTGACCTGAAAATGCTGATTGCCAGGCTGTCATAATGATCCTTTGGCCTTAATAGTTTCTAAAATACCGACCTAAAACAAACTTTCACATCAGGAGTTTCACCTTTATTCCTATCCACCCCGCTGCATGCATGTGCCAGGTCAATGACTCAAAATCCAGAGACTGCCAGGTAAGTAGCATTTTCAGAAGAAGTTCGGCAGTGGCAGCCAATGCATTTCCCTAGGTGTTTGTGTAGTTTGTGTTCATCTAAAGCCAGATGTTTTATGTGAAGTTTGGGATGGAGCGGGGAAGGGTTAGCACAACTGTCGGGGTTCTTTTTTTGATCTCTGTGCCACTACCTCACTTCCTGTGCTGCAGACGCCACAGGAAGTGAGAGGAATTCTACCAAAGTGAGGAGAAATCCTCTCTTAGTTGTCACCAGAACAGGCGTCCTCATTGGAAGATCTCGCCTCTTGTTCAGGTGAAGGTTACAAAATTTTGGATTTCCGATCACTTTCCTGTCCCGATGACAACGGTCACCTGACGGGAGGTCTAACCCTTCACCATTCTATGCAAAGCTGAAATGTTACAGTTGGAAGGTAATCTGCAGCCGTGCTTATATAATGGCCGCCCCTGTGTACACGTACAATTACTAACTAGACAGAGACATGGTTTTTAGAATGTTATCTCGCCTTGATGAGATTGGATTCAGCTGATTTGTTACACATCTACACTATATTGCCAAAAGTATTGGGACGCCGGCCTTTCCACGCACATGGTCTCTAATGACATCCCAGTCTTAGTCTGTAGGGTTCAATATTGAGTTGGCTCCGCCCTTTGCCGCTATAACAGCTTCAACTCTTCTGGGAAGGCGTCCACAAGGTTTAGGAGTGTGTCTATGGGAATGTTGGACCATTTGTGAGGTCAGGTACTGATGTTGGAGGAGAAGGCCGGGCGCGCAGTCTCCGCTCTAATTCATCCCAAAGGCCGGTCTTTACACTTGGCACAATGCAGCCAGGCAAGTACCGTTGTCCTGGCAACCACCAAACCCAGACACGTCCATCGGATTGCCAGACCGAGAAGCGTGATTGGTCACTCCAGAGAACACGTCTCCACTTCTCTAGAGTCCAGTGGTGGTGCGCTTTACACCACGGCATCCGACGCTTTGCATTGCACTTGGTGATGTAAGGCTTGGATGCAGCTGCTCGGCCATGGAAACCCATTCCATGAAGCTCTCTACGCACTGTTGTTGTGCCATCTGAAGGCCGCATGAAGTTTGGAGGTCTGTAGCTATTGAGTCTGCAGACAGTTGGCGACTTCTGCGCACTGTGCGCTTCAGCATGCGCTGACCCTGCTCTGTCATTTTACATGGCCTATCACTTCCTGGCTGAGTTGCTGCTGTTCCCAGTTGCTTCCACTTTGTTATAATCCCCCAACAGGTGACCGCGGAATATTTAGTAGCCAGGAAATTTCACGGAACACCTGAATCCAATGATTCGGAGGGGTGTCCCAATACTTTTTGGCAATATAGTGTGTATCTAAATCAAATGGATTTTATTAGAAGACGATACAAGAGCACCACGAGTTAGCTAAAGAGACATTCACACTGCCTGCTTCAAGGTTCACATTGTCAGCTTGGGCGGTAGGGAGGAGTCCTTGCAAAGTGTCATTCACCATTGTGTGTAAATCTCAGCCTGAGCTATTGAGTCCTGTAAACAGACATGACAAGCACAATGTAGCCAAAGGTTTGTCATCATTGATCATTACGCTCTATGGCCAGGTACGGGGACACTCCTCCAAGTTACTGAGTTCCAGCGAAGGGCCCTGGTGATGCTACAGACATACAAAGACATTTTAGACAATTGTGCATTTCCAACCTTGTGGTAACAATATATAGAAGGTTCTCTTCCAATTATGTCACAAAGTCAGGACCATGAAGACGTGCAATCCAGTGCGATGGACTACAATCTCACGTTTGGATGAATAATTTATATTGAGATTGTAGTCCATCCCCGGATCGAGCTTGGAGCGGTGACTACTTTACAACACACACAGGGACCATGAGGAACAAAAATATCCCCCCTCCAGAAGGAAGGACAGTGTCGGCACCAATTCAGAGATGATTGGAGGATCTACAGCCGAGCGATACACAAATAAGATACATTTTTGTTAATATTTGGGGTACGTGAATGCATTTTTAGGCTTTCACTCCTGAGTTTCGGCCTCATTCACACAAGAAAAAGCCGGCACGTGCTGGGTGTGATTAGTACGCAGCCCCTGTCTTTCTCTATTGAGACCACGCGGCCATATGCCCCCCTACGCTCACCCGCCCTGCACGTCCGTGCGGGTGCCCGTACTCGTACCCTGAGAGGATGGATCTCGTCTGCATCCGAGCAGGGACACCCGCACACGTACGGACCTGCACTTGGGGTGAGCGTAGGGCGGCGTACTCGCATAGAGAAGGACGGGGGCTGCGTACTAATCACACCCAGCACCTGTCCTTCCCGGGAGCTGCTCAGTACGGCCGTGCACGCAGCATGGAGCTGTACGTCCCGGGGCGATTCGTGTGTGAATGAGGCCTAAGTGTCACTTTTATAATATACCTGAAAATAAAGGAGACCTATTTGTAGGATTTTTTTAGTCCCAATCATAATAAATCCAGAACAATGTGTACATGGGGCTGCACGTTCCCTTCTCATGATTGATTTTTGTGTCTTGCAGCACAATCACTTTGTGTCCAGCAGCAAGGACAAGGAGCCGGAAGTTGTGTTCATAGGAGACTCAATGGTCCAGCTGCTCCATCAGTTTGAGGTTAGTATATCAGGCTTGGGACTGTGTTCTCTACTTTTGGATCAGGTGAGGAAGGAGGAGAAACCTTGTTTCCATATAATGACAATGCTTTTACCAGACAGGAAGTGAGGGGAAATCTGCAACACAGGAAGAAGTAAAAATCCTAAAACCAAGGAAAGGAGTCTAAATGGAAACTTTAATTCCATCAAAGCTGAGCTCCCGCCTTCCCTTCAGTCTCATATCTGAGCTCCGGCCTTCCCTTCAGTCTCATATCTGAGCTCCGGCCTTCCCTTCAGTCTCATATCTGTGCTCCGGCCTTCCCTTCAGTCTCATATCTGAGCTCCGGCCTTCCCTTCAGTCTTATATCTGAGCGCCGGCCTTCCCTTCAGTCTTGTATCTGAGCGCCGGCCTTCCCTTCAGTCTTGTATCTGTGCTCCGGCCTTCCCTTCAGTCTTGTATCTGAGCGCCGGCCTTCCCTTCAGTCTTGTATCTGAGCGCCGGCCTTCCCTTCAGTCTTGTATCTGAGCGCCGGCCTTCCCTTCAGTCTTATATCTGAGCTCCGGCCTTCCCTTCAGTCTTATATCTGAGCTCCGGCCTTCCCTTCAGTCTTATATCTGAGCTCTGGCCTTCCCTTCAGGCTTGTATCTGAGCTCCGGCCGTCCCTTCCGTCTGGGTGTGGTCTGCATGCAAATACAGCCTGCCTAGGAACGGCCGCTCCTCCAGACTGACACCCACCCATCAAGGCATTGTGATATTTGTATAACTCCTCCCAAGAGTCAGCCCACTGCTTGCATCAGGGTTGATGGCTGAGAGGAGAACTGAGGCAGGGAGCTGTGATGTTTTCCAGGAGCTATGTACAGCACCCTGCCGGCCCCTCCCACCAGCCAATCTGCCTGCATTGTATAGAGAAGCACAGAGATTCAGTGATGACATCACTGGGTCTAAAATAAGGTGCGTCATGAATAGGAAGGTATCATTTAAATATTTAATTAGCATGTTGATGAGGGGGGAGGGAGGAACCAATGAAGACAAAACATCAGCAGATTGAACTTCAGTTTTAAAACAGATGAATACCGTGTGAATATGTAGCCCACAGATGTGAATGTATCAGACTAGTCATTTATGGAATGTAACTTGTGTGGAGCTTTTATTCCTTGATTTTTTTTTGGTCCACGACGCACCTCAAGACATCCAATCCCAGGTGGTTTGTGGGAACCGGTTCCTATCGGATCCAGTGCCATCAACTGGAACCAGCACACGATAATCTTCCAAAGAAATTCAAACGTTATTCCACATGCATCTGTACAAAGCACAACTACTGACACGTTTCAGCCTTACGTGGCCTTAGCTTGAGCTATGACTAAGGCCGAGTAAGGCTGAAACGCGTCAGAGGTTGTGCTTTGTACAGATGCATGCGGAATAAAGTTTGAATTTCTTTGTGGAACCAGCACATGATAATCTTCCAGTCTTTGAGCCTATTACTCCAGAAGAGAGTCATCCGTGCACCGAATGTAGATTGCGGGGACGTATGATAGGGGTGAGCTGTGCACTTCGTCCAGTGACATCCCCTGTCCGCTCTAAAATTTACAGTGGTCACCGAAACAAGAAGAGAGGGGGAAGTTCCAATGGAGACACTTTTTCCAGTGGGTTTTCCCCTCACTTCCTGTTGTGCCTCTGAGACAGGAAGTGAAGGCTCTGTAATTGGACACAGACAGCAAAAACAAATAATAGCTAGTGGGTGAGAGATAATAAACGATTCCTATGTGGGCCTGGAGCTGTTCATTATGATGCTCAGTGTTACTGTGTCTGGTTTCCTGTGTCCCCCCAGATCTGGCGAGAGCTCTTCTCCCCTCTGCACGCCCTGAACTTTGGAGGGTTGGGTGAGGGCACCCAGCACGTGTTATGGAGAATGGAGAACGGGGAACTGAAACACATCAAACCAAAGGTAAGAATTGGGTGGTGAGACACAAATAATATTGTCTCATGGATTGAAAGAAGAGCTGGCGGAGCTTTGTTTTTTTCTGCACTTCTGTTGAATTGCATCTTTTTAGGCCTGAAGATTACTTCACACCCCCCAAGCAGAATATACTTTGGGAGACCCTGCAGAAAATAAAATGGTGGGAGTTGTAGTTTTAATGTCACACAATAATTGTACTACTGCTCATCAAATGTACCAAAAAATACTCAAATTAATCTTAGTGCAAACAAACAAACATAATATAATACCCGCACCCTGACATGCGTGTTTGTGTGTACGGGGGGGGGGGGGGGGGGGTTATTTTATTAAACATTTTAACTTGTTTTAAACTTAACTTTTTTTTTATATTACAAGGAGGCTGATTAGTATAGTGCAGGTAACAGGTTGTCTTTCTGGAGATATCAGGGGTCTAGTAGACCTCTAATGCCACATTTGAATTCTATTGAAGCTGATTGAGCACAAACTATGCTTGATCTGCTTCTTCCTGTGCTGGAGAGTGACATCTGTGAACCCAGAAGTGCTCACAATAGACAGCATCTGCTCAAATAAGGTGGCCCTGATTGATAATGATTAAAATTGCATATGATATCTGCTCCACATCACTCTTATTCCTCACCCACTGCTCCTTATATACTTTCTATCACAAGGGGGCTGATAATACCCATATGGGAAAGTATAGTGCAGGTAACTGGTTGTCTTTTTGGAGATATCGGGGTCTAGTAGACCTCTAATGCCACCTCTGCATACTATGCTTGATCTGCCCCGGCTGGAGAGTGACAGAGTTGAACCCGGAAGTGCTCACAATAGACAGCCAGCGTCTGCTCAAATAAGGTGGACTTGATTGATAATGATTACAATCGCATATGCTTTTCCCTCCACATCACTCGTATTGCTCATCTTCTGCTCCTTATATACTTTATCACAAGCATATGTCAAAGTATAGTGCAGGTAACAGGTTGTCTTTCTGGAGATATCGGGTTCAAGTAGACCTCTAATGTCACCTCTGCATGTTGAAGCTGATTCAGCGCTTGAACACTATGCTTGATCTGCTTCTTTCCCTGCTGGAGAGTGACGGCTGTGAACCCAGAAGTGCTCACAATAGACGGCTAGCATCTGCTCAAATAAAGTGGACCTGATTGATGATTACAATCGCATATGATATTCCCTCCACACCACCCTTATTCCTCATCCACTGCTCCTTAATAAATCACGGCATGGCTCCACATATATAGGTGTCAAACCCAAACAAGATTCCTGCCACATATCTAGAGTTATTTCATCATCATCTTCATATGATTAGGTGCAACACCCGTGCCCAGTGCCATCTGGAAGGGGGTCGCTCGGCAGGTCGAGGGGCACTGGACACGGGTATTGCCCCTATTCCTATGAGGATGATAATGAAATAACTCCCGATATGTGGGAGGAAGCTTCCTGGATTGTCATAAGGAGACAAACATTGAAGAGGATGTTATAAGGGGAAGTGGCCACTGAAGGAAAAGCGCCCGGGATTGACTCGTATATATGTGGAGCCATGCTGTGATTTATTAAGTAGCAGTGGATGAGGAATAAGAGGGATGTGGAGCGAATATCATATGCAATTTAATCATTATCAGTTGGGTCCACCTTGTTTAAGCAGACGCTGTCTATCCATTGTGAGCACTTCTGGTTTCAAAGCTGTCACTCTTCAGCCGGGGAAGAAGCAGATCAAGCATAGTCTGCGCTCAATAAGCTTCAACATTGTGCAGAGGTGACATTAGGGGTCTACTAGACCAGCGGTCGCCACCTGGTGGTCCGTGAGAAAATGTTGGTGGTCCCCGGGCTTGTGTGTATATATATAGATCTATATACAGTGTGAGATATATCTATCTATCTCACACACACACACTGTATACACAGTATGTGTGTGTGTATATATATATGTATGTATGTGTGTGTGTATATATATATATATATATATATATATATAATA